CTGTGTAGTAGTAATATGGCCAAAAATAAAAACAGCCGTTATTCGGCCATCTTTGATCTGATTGTGAAACACACTGATATATATGATGTATGTGCCAAATACGAATAGAAATGGTACATAAATTATGGAAATATAGTAGTACGGCCAAAAAGTCAGATGGCTGTCAATCAGCCATCCTTGACCAGATTTTGAAACAAATTGTCATGGACATGCATCCCAACATGTATAAAGTACATGTATGTGCCAAATTTGAATGGAAACTGACAGAGCACGTCCAAGATACAGCATAAAAAAAACACAAGATGACTGCCGGTCAACCATCTTTGATCCAATTGCGAAATAAATCGTATGGACAACGGAATCAGTCCACAGGATTCTGAAATATAACTCTGGACAGACTCAGGAACTCGCGGACGGTCAGGACATGTATCCTAACATGTATGATCTATGTACTAAATTTGAATGAAAACTGCCAAAGCATGTCCAAAATACGCTATTTTCAAAAAAACAAGATGGCTGCCAGTCTGCCATTTTGAATCAAATCGCTAAATCACTGCATGTGCATATGTCCCACATAAAGTACTAGGCACATGCAAAGAATGAACGGAATCGGTCCAAGGGATTCTGAGATACGACTCTGGACGGACGGACACACACGCATGTACGTACGCACGGTCGGAGACCGAATTATAAGTCCCCGTTTTCGGACTTCGCCCGAACAGGGGACTAATAAACATGTCAGAGATATGGATCCAGAAACTGATGCTTGATTGTGGTGATTTTTAAATACTGAAATGATTGACATTCAGTCATCTTGTATCTGATCATCAAACAAGTACTTGTCCATAATGAGAGATATTGGAACAGCATTTATTGAAACAAAATAGCCACCAGTTGTCCACTTTGAATACATCTGAATATCTATAACATGATGTAGAATGAATACCGGTATATCAAATTTTAACATAATCAGTCGAAGCATGGCAGAGATATGGCACTTGACTGCATTTATTAAAATTACTTTGATCTGAAAAACAAAATGACATGCATCAGTATGCACCAAGTTTGAACAAAAATCATCCATAAATGCTGGATTTTAATGATTTTTCAGCACAAAAATGCCGCCATTCAGCCATCTTGAATCAGATCATGAATCAAATTGATGTGCATATATAATATGCATGATGTATGTGTGAAGTTTGAATGTAATCAGTCCAGACATGTCTAAGATATACAGATGCACGGAGGTCAAACCAAACTAAACATTTGAAAAACTTGTTATACCTTTGATGGTGGAGGCATTTTTTTGCTCTTTGGAATTTTGGGTTGCTGAGTTCGAGGTGGTGGTGGTTGTACTATCGCTGAAGAGGGCTGAGTTACTGGTCCAGTCACAGGTGGTTGTCCCAGATGCTGTGATGGCGGTGCTGATTGCTGTACTACAGGCATCGATCCCACGGTGCCCAGCGAACTGGTGGTACCAACAGGAGCCGTGCCAACTGCCACACTTCTACCAATTGTCACAGAACCAATAGTGACTACAGGTGCACCTACAGTTGCTGTTACTCCAAGCGATGATGGTTGACTAGGAATACCAACCTGAAGAACAAATATTTTTCTTTGAGACCCCCAAAATCAGTTTACGAAAAGATTAACTATGTGCATGCATGAAGGTATTTGGATTAAATATCATTGTATAAACCCTCAGTTCCAGCAACACAAAACTCTCACACAGGTTACATACAGTACCCACTTATACAAGGGAGAATTACAGAAGGAGCTGATTGATGAAGAGAAGATTTATACAAGAACCCATTGCAAATTTCTAAGGACACAGTGACTAGTAACTGATTAATATTCATAACCACTGAGCATAGTTCTTCAAAAATCTCTGACTGTTACTAACTGAGAGTTACGTCAAAACAATTCCGACACAAAGATTCACAGTCAGACAAAGAGAAACAGGAAACCACTGGATAACATGAACATGGTCAGATGGTACGACTTTTTCCCAATTGTGCTCAAAGCTAATCGGTTGCATAGCACCACATGACACTGATGAATCATGGGTAACTTACAACTCAAATTAGAAATTCAAAATAAGGACATGTGCAACAGGCAATAGCTTCAGTTAAACTATTTAACCACCAGATTCATTTAAATTAAAAGTTGTTTTTGACGAGATTAAAGTGACGAAAGGCACAAGTCATTGTCTGAAAACTAGATGAACTGCAAGTTTAAAGGCAGTTAACGACCCATTTGCTAAAACCGGCTTTTGTACGTTGGTAATTTTGCTACCACATAATTTGTGCAAAGGCACCAAGTCAAACAATGTTAGAGAACTGAAGATTCAAGGTTGAACCAGGTTGGAAACACCTATTTATTAATCTGTGTAGTTTTATCACAGCATTTTCAGCAATTGCATCTGAACAAAAACATAATGCAAGAATGTCATACACCAGAATATCAATCCAAATTGAGCCTGATTGTGAAAAACCGGAGTAATAGTAAAGGCTTGGACACCAAGATCGGATGGTATTTTGGTTAACCAAGATAATTTTCATTATTTTAGTTATGTGCTTTCAGTTTTATTGATCTTTATGATGTTCAAGTTTTGTTATTACCTGTGCAGGTGTTGGCTCAGGGACAGACTGATTTGTTACATCAGTCAACTGGCCAAGGATGTGTGACGTTTGTCGACCAGAGTTCATTCCATCAGCACTGGATTGTCCAGTGGGCTCCGCTGGCTTGTGAATGCTATTTGACAGAGATGAAGTAGTACTGTCTGGTAAAGTCTTACTAGGAGGTGGGGAACCAATCCTGGCTGTAAATACCTTGGATTCTGCTAAATCACCTCCCCAGTCACCTTCAGCACTCCAATCTTCCGTTGTTGCGGTTATACTGTCACCCCAAGTTCCTACAGAGGAAAAGACTATTCGGGGGTTAGACTGTAATAATAAAATCATTGATCAAATACAGACAACTGAAGTGCTGTAGCATCTGCTACCTTTCCATGTACCTAATCTGATAGTCGTACATTACTATTTCTTTTGAATTAGGTTATGTTATGGCTCTAGAAACAGTATTCAGTTATCTAAAAAAAAAATCTTAAAAAACATCTTGGCCTCATGTTCAATGTATGTATGTACCAACGTCCAAGATCTGGGCCCAGAATGGAGAAACACAAAATTTTGATGCATTTTTAACATTAAAAGGGTTGCCATACAATCTGAGTATGTCAGAGACGCTGCTCTGGAACAGCATTCATTGACAAGCAACCTCTCAGCTGAGATGGCTTCGCTGTTAGCAAATCTGGGGGAGGTCCACCTGATATACGAAAAAAGTTAAAAACCACAAACGGCTAAACAGATGAGCTGCTAAGCTTGCTGTCAATCAATGTAACGTGACATTGAACCACTGAAAAAAGGGTGTATCCTTTAATCTCCACAAACATTTACATAATAACCCTACTTGTTTTCAATGAATACTGTGTTTAGTATTGTTCACTGTTATGTTCCGAGTGTGTAAGTGGTTATATAGAGCGCATTTTGAATATACAGTGCAAGACTGTAAATGAAATGAAAATGAGACTCCACTACACGATGCCTAGAATTAACAATGATAGAAAATTCAATAAATTCTGTTACATGCATCTCATTACGAAATTCCAGATAGTAAAGACTCATCTGTATCTATCGAGACAAATTAAAGCAACTTCCTGTTATGTTTTTCACATTATAAATTAGTAACAACCTCTTCTAAAAATCACGATTTGAAATGTGTACACGCTTACACAACACAATTTCATAATTATCACTTTTCACCTATATATATTTAAATCAGACATCATCCAACAACAGAACCCAAATTAATAGTCCCAGGGGCTGATAACAGAAGTATGGTGGCCAAATGAAATCAAATGAAATCACAAATCCAATGTGCATTAACACCCCACCCCACCCCACCCCCCACACCCCCACTGGAGTGATATCTGTCATGCATGAGAAACAGTTGACACGTCAAGAAAATGACTGCCAGTCAGCAAAAGTCACAGAAATGTATTACTGATAATTTCATTACTTGCGTAACTCACCAGTTTCTGCTTGTGTATTCAGGGTGGTACTTGTAGTTGTCTCTGTTGGGTTCGTCCAAACATTGCTTTCTTCTAGTTTACTGTTCACAAACTCCCTGGACCCCTTGTTATAACTTTCACTGTTAAAAGTCCTGTAAAAATTGATAAGCATAAACTTCACATAATAATGAATCAACTGGCCAAGGTATACTATAAATACACTTCTAAACAATTATTATTTCCTTGCTAAGTCAAGCTGTAGTCAACAGCTCCAGCCAAACTCTGGTAAAGACCTGTTTTCCCAAACTTACAGGTTGATTATGTCGTGCCTCAGTGGATGTATGCGACTATGAATATCATAGTAGTCATTATATGTTGTTTTTGTGACAATAAATAGTGTCCAAGTTGAACATGCTACGATGCTTGAATAATTAACTGCTGTCAACCAATGTCACGTGACGTTAGATTAGGTTAGGTTGCTGAAACAGAGTGTGTCATCTAATCTCTACAAACATTTACATAGCGGATTTAACGAAGAATGAAAATCATGTTCACAAATATAAAAGGTCACCACTGAGATTACGAGCCAGAAATACCCTTAGTCGTTTTTAACGAAATGAATATTGTGTTTAGTATTGTATACTGGTATGTTCAAAGGGTGTGTACGTGGTGATAGCGAGCGTATTCCAAAAATAATGCAACCTATGACGGTAAATGGAACAGAATGAAGACTGACCACACAATTATGTTGCATGCGATTCAGTACAAATTAATTTACTGGCTTCTTCGTGGCTTTTTACAGTGGTTTGAAGAAATGGCAAATTCACACCGTAACACTGTGTCACCTGTCGGCCCCTTAGAAAGGCTAAAATGCTACTACCGTTAAAGTCCTATTATAAACCGCGGTTTATATTACAATGTATCAATTTAAAAATTGGGATCAAAAGCTCAAGTTCGGGGTGCGGTTTCTATTACGTACATATTGCAATCACTAAATGGGCGTGGTCATTTTTTGTCCACAACACATGCACAAAACAAACAATACACCGTACAATCTCTTGAATAGGCGTCGGGGAAGAATGAAAGGCCTTATTTTGGTTCTAAAATAGGCGTTACGAAATGTTGAAAAATTACAGTCAATCAAAAAAAAAATTCCACATGATACAAAAAATACTCAGTATTTTTAATGTAATATGCATTTATTTTTTTATTTTCTTGGTAACGAAAAGTATATTCTAACAGAAGTTTCAAATAAAAACACGAATGCACTGCTTAGTAGCAAATGATCACATAACGATAGCTCGATCCGACCATGCTGCGGGTTACAAGTGAATAACTTGTTTTCGAAGTGTTGATATTGGTGATTATTATTTAGCAGTGATTACAATAACGCACAAAAAATAAATTCGTTGAATTGTTATAAAATGCAAGTAAAATTCAACTTAGTTTCCCCGTAAGGGAATGATTTCAGTCACATGTAAACAGCAGATACGATATCTGCCATGTTTT